GTTCCCAAGGTCAATGGCCTTGAGGGTGGCCCGACCGTCTTTCGAAAGGCGCCGATCACACTTCCTGGCGAGTCGGACGAATTTCTCTACCCCCTGTGCTCCGCACAAGCGGCAAAACCAAAGGCCTCGGAAGCTCTCGATCCGGTGCGAGTCATCAATCACGGACGGGCGCCCAGGGCAAGATGAGGTCGAGAACTCCTCCAGGGATCTCTTCCCCACTGTGACTAAGCAATGTGCACACTTCCAGCCCTTGGAGGTTTGAAAGATTCGATGCGAAGATTCCCTCATGAGCTGAGGGGTCTGTTCAGCCTTGGCCTTTGCCTTGGCTACAGCTCTAGCATGGATGTCGCCTTTCAAAGTGGTTCCGTAAAAATCTCTAGCATTCTTCGCAACCTCCAGGGCAACTAAACTCAATCGTTTTTGAACACGCCAGGCCAACCTATCGGCCTCCTGTACTTTCACTACCAGACTGTAGGGGGGTTTGGCTTCCTCCGCGGCTTTGTCGGCCAACTTGTCGGCCTGATCATTGGCAAACCAGTGTTCTAGAGGAAAACCAGGACCCACCGCCGAGCGCTCAAGGTGACTCTTGACCTTGACTAGTGACAACGTACCAGGGCGGTCCACGACCGCCTTCCAGTATTCAGCCCAGAGATCTGCATTACTTCTGTACTTATACCCCGGGCCATGTTTGGCCCCTTGGAAAACATAAGCCGCGTCAACTACATAAGTGGCATCCCCAGCTGTGGCTTGGAGAGCTCTGACAACTGCTAGCAGCTCGGCTCGGGGAACGGTCTGTCTCCAGCCTGCCGTAGTCCCTCGGCAAGAGGCTAAGACAGACTCACCCAGACAAATGGCGAAGGCCCAACCCACACGGCGCAAACGAGGATCCGACCCATGCTCTCCCCCCGAGCCGTCACCGCCTATTACACATCCTACTGGGAGTATATATCTCTGCCCATCCTCAGGCCACTCTCCCTCTCTGCAAATATCTTCTATAGGGAGAGGGGTGTCCTCAGGCGGCATCGTCCACAAAATCGGCACGAGGCCTCGGAGCCAGAAGCATGGGTAGGTTTCAGCCCCTACCTTGGCTTGCTCGCAGAGGCGGTTGTCTTCTTCTAAATCGGGAATGTCTCTATTGAAGGGGCATTCCCAAAGCTGATGATATAACGTTTCATTTGGTGCGCCGCATCTAGGACATGCCGTGCTGCCTATTCCTGTGTTCTCGAAACGCCGCTGGTTGGGCCACAAGGCCCCTTGGGAAACCATCTCCAGAATGGCAGCCCTATGGCTTAAGCCTTTATTGCGCAAAAACTTCAAATTGGCCCAAGTCACAGTTAAGTCCACCCCGTACTCAACCCCCGAGCCCGAGAAATGCTGGCTGGCTTGGGCCCAAATACTCTGTTCCAGGGAAGATCCTACTTCAAAGTCGAGCCTGTCGAGGCCCTCTGCTTCTTCAAAACTAAACCTGAGCCCACATGGAATGGTCCATTCCCCTGGTGTGTTGGGAATCCAATTCATATCTAACAGAGTGGCTTGCACAGCCGCCATGTGCCCCTTGACCTGCAGCCAGCGATGCTCCGACTCCCTCAGCTTGGCCAAGGACTCGTCCCAGGCTTTGTCGATGGCGGCACGCCACTCGGGGATCCTAGGGAGATGTTCCTGCCAGGCCTGCAAAAGTTCAAGAGGTCCCCAAAAAAGGGGGTCACTGCGTTTCCCAAGACTAATCCTAATGGCAGTGGTAGCACAACCACCTGCCCACTTACTACCGCACATGGCTGAGACTTTCGCCCGCAGCTTCCTCAGATTCGTGGGCGCTAAGCCCATGGCAACGGCTCCCCAGGACACCTGCGGCTTGTAGCCAGTGTTGGCTAGCTTTTTGGCCGCCTTCACGCTTTTGCCCAGGACTCGAATAGCAACAGCTCGTTTGACTCCCTTCTGGTGTCTACCTTTGATGGTCCCTTGCGTCCTGGAAGCAGTAGCTACATCCACTCCAAGATCACGCGCCGAGAGCTCCACTCTAATAGGTAACTGCAACTCCTTAATACGCTTCCGCAATGCCACACGCACCGACGGAGAACTCGCCAGGCCAACTGACTTCTTTGAAATTCGCAATCCTTTGCTGTACATGCCCGTCGTGAGCTGAATGGCCACTTGCGTAGCCTGGTCCACTACTCCTTCTGCCGTGCCTATGTTGAGTTGCGCCAAGTCGTCGGCCCAGCTGCCAATGGAATTTCGAGGAGGGGGATACGCTCGATGGATATTGTCTAACATGTCCCACAGATAAATTCTGGACCAGGCTACGCTTTGCATGCAACCAGCAATAATCGAATGGTTGACCTGGATGCTGTCTGAGAGCATAGTGCCAACCGCGAGCCACCTATCTGCCATGTGCTGCAACATGGCAAGGTAAAAGGGCACAAGGGGGTAATCCAGATTTCCCGCTAAGACTGACAGTTGTTCGCCCTGGATAAGATCATAAAACTTCTCTGCGTCCCACAGAAGCTGCGCCCAACTAATATTCAAAAGCCCACACGTTTCTGCTTTCAGTTGCCGTAAAACCGCTGCTCGTAGAGGGCTGCTTCCTTTTACCGCTGCATCCCAGAAACCCGCTTTGCTACGTTCCCATGTAACTATTGCTTGCTTGCGCATCACACTCCATAAACGATAGGGCCCTGGGGTCAACGTAATCGGTCGATCTCCTCCTGGCGGCGGTTTCGGGGTGAGGGCGACGACGTTGACCAATATTTGCACTGGCCATTTCAGTTGGGTCTCCACTGCAACGAAAAATTCCAACAACTGCTCTTGGCCCTGCTCTGGTAGCGTGAGCCACTGTCTAGGGTTCCACGGGTCAGCTCCAAGGCCCGCATGATCCTTAAAATATCGCATGCCATGCCGCAGGTCTGCAACCGTGAGATCTGGCAAAGGTCGCTCTTCCTGCTGTGCATGGGCGGCTTCGCGGAGGCGCTGAAGCCAAAAAGGAAAAGGTTGCTTAGGTCCTCCAATCGTTCCTCCCCAAAGTCTCGACCACCTTTACGCCTTCACCTTCATCATCTCTATTGGCTCAATTACCTCATTTCCTCCTTCGTCCTTCTCGATGGCTAGGCTTGGCTCCTCCACCTGCCACGTCCTGGAAAACTGATGGGCCCAACTAGCTCCCGAGGACAAGCTGGTACTAAGAAACTTCCGAAATCCCGCTGTACTTTCTTTCATGGCCACGATGGATACCTTAGCAAGAACTTCTTTAGCTGCATTTAAAACTTCGCGGATGTCCTCCTTGGTCGAGGGAGGCGATATCAAGGCGGCACTGATCTTGTCGCCTGCATTCCAAGCCGATTCTGGAACAGCTGTAAAGTACTGTGCTACCTGTGCCTCGGTACTCCATGCTTCAATCTGTTTGTGTATAGCCGTGCGGTGATTCTGTACAGTAGTGCTCGCGCTCTTATCAGCCAAAGTAAACAGCTCCTGAAACCTCGATCGAATACTTCCCCAGAAACATACTTCAGGAGAGCGTCCAAAATGTCCAGGCGGTTTTGCAGTGATCAGGTTTTGAACTTTGACCTCAGGGCACATTCCTCTCCTGTGGGGTCCTACTTCTCTTCCCGCTCGATTCAGCAAAAAGGCCTCTGCCTGCATGGAGAAGCTCGCGTACAACCTGGTGATGTCGCCTGAGGTCGCCTCAGGCCAAAAATGATAATGCTGCGGCATCTCAATGCCGTCATTCTGCTGCTGAAACATCTCCCAGGGCTGGTCGGGTCCATATACGTACGGTAGGATTGGGGTGACAGGTACCAGGATGCGGCCTTCCAGGATGTTCTGAGTCAGGTCCAACTCGCCAAAAATTCCCAGATGTGGCGCCCAAGGTCCCTTCTGATCCAGAGAAAGCTTAACCAAGGAAGCTAAATGTTCCGAGACGACTCCGAAGTCCAGGATTCTTCCAGTGCCTCCAGAATTTGTAAATTCGCCAGGTGGTATAGCGATGTGTCCCCGAACAAATGAAGGCCACCCAGACTCCCAGAGCTCCTCAGGAGTCATGTTCCAGTCCGCCATGACTATGTAGTGCTTAGCCACAGAGAGTAAATATCCAGCTAGCTCTTCTAAGATAAGGCCGTTGGTGCCGACAGCCCCCTCGGAGTCATTCAAATAAGCTGAAACAAAAGTCACATCCAGTCCTTTAAACCTGACTGTCCTGCCTACCCACTGCGTGCCGAAAAACTGTTCTTTACCATCTGGGCCGATCTTACAGGGGTAGAGGATCTGGGAGTGGATGGTGGTCCTCGAGAGAACCCAGACCCCGCCATGCCCAAGCGTCCCTTCTTTGGCTGTGGGGACAGCAGGGGCCGAGGTGGACAACCACCCCGCGCGCTTGAGTTTCTTCTGCGCCTGCAACAGCGCTCCTCCTCTCAAATGAGTTTCGGCACCCATGTGGAGCAAAACATCTTGCATATGCTCTGCTGCTAAATGTGCCATGGCACGCTCGTTCCACTTGGTGTAGTTGGCGAAATAGAAAAAGAACTTCTGCCCAGCGCCGCCGCGTTGCCGAGCATGTGGTACACGTTCTTGGCTAAAGCCCCGTTGGTGAAGCCTGAGACTGCGCGAACTTCTGCTTTGCCGCCTCAAGGGTGGCCTGGACTTGTTCATCAGAAACATGTGGCTGAGACGGTGCCGTGGTTGATGGATTTGTTGCTTCTTGCGTCGCCGAGGATGTTGCTGCACCAGAACCCGAGCAAGTAGCCTCACCCCTGGATTCCGCCGCCGCAGTACCTCCAGCCTCTTGTGGTTCAGCATCACCTCCGCCACCAGCTCGTGCTCCACCTTCATTGGTACGTCGCCTTTTGAGTGCCATCCTTGACTTGTATTCTTCAAACTGTTGCTTCCTTTCCAAGAGTGTCTTCGCCGAGGGTCCCACCGCGGCGCAGATAAGTTTGGATGCTTCTTTTGCCAATGACTCTTTATGTTCTTTCCATTGCTGCAATTCTTCTGGCGATAGTTCCAACTCCGACGTGTCGAAGTTGGCGCCGTCCTCGAACTTGAGAATCTCCAGGAGCTCGGTCTCCTCCGTGGCGCTGAGCAGCTTGGACAGGTTGATGGGGGCGGTATGCTGCAGCACCTTGGGGTCGACATTCGCCTGGAGAAGAGCTTGGTGCCGAGCTGCCGCCTTTGTTGCAACTCTGGCTTTGTCACGTGTGTCTGATTCTGCTTTGGCAAGGTATTCACGGCATTCTGCTTCATATCGGATTGCACGATCAAGAGCTTCCGCTGTCTTGCGCGCTTGTACCCCAGCCTGATTGAGATCATGTTCTCGCTGGAGTTCTGGCCGTAGCTTGGGTTTGTCCACCTGCTGCACTGGAGGGGCTGCCTTGGCTTCAAAGGCTTGAAGTTCAGCTCCTGCTTCTGGATGTCGTTGCTTGAGTGCCTCCAGCAGCTGCGCCGTGGTGGGCGCGAACGGCGAGGTGGCTGGAAGCGATGTGCCTCCTGCCTGCCAAACGCCTGGCGGCGCGCCAGCGGCCGCCATGTTGCCCACCATGGTGAAGGGGCTCCCACCTGGCGTGCGGGCGCGAGG